GTGAATGTTTGAAGTGAAGTCATTTACAACGTCAGCTCAATAAGATTTATGTCGCCTTCATAATAGGGGCAGCGTTTAACGTGTAGCGACTTGTCAATTCACTGCTGGATGAACGGATAGATTTTGGATAGATGATTTTTTTTTAGAATTTTAGCAGGAAGATACCAATTAGCTGCTAGACTATATTCCGTAGGCGTCTTTGAGACTGCGCAGATGTTACACAGTCCAGATCTTACAATCACTGTTGCATCGGTCGGGACAGCAAGTATCGGGTTCATATTCTTAGGTTTTTTCGGTAAAGTCACGTAGGTAAAAAATTAAAATTAATAAAAGTAAAATAAAATAATAAAAATCACGACGTTTCGGAGGCAACACAAGCTTCCGTCTTCAGGTGGAACCGTCACAGCACGATTGCTGTATCAAGTAAATGATACAGCAAGCGTGTTGTGACGGCAGCTGTATCAAGTAAATGATACAGCAAGCGTGCTGTGACGGTTCCACCTGAAGACGGAAGCTTGTGTTGCCTCCGAAATGTCGTGATTTTTATTATTTTATTTTTATTTCATCTTACTTTTATTAATTTAAATTTTTTACCTACGTGACTTTACCGAAAAAACCTAAGAATATGAATCCTTACAATCACGAAAGCTTCAAATCTAGAAGTATCGGGTTATTTGACCATACTTCACCAGCCTGGACCAGTACGAGTTGCTGAATGCGGGGAGCACATCCGTACGGTCTACAACCTTGCCGCGTGCTGCCCAGAGCGTGGCCTCGCAGCCTGTAACACCCGTTACGCATGGCGGTCGTGAACCCCTGCTGTCCATGATTGACCCCCTTGCTTGGCTCAGGAGGTCTGACGATTTCGACGGGTCAGCAGGCAACTACCCCAGTGCGGCACCGGTGCATCATCTCTGCAGGCGGATTTTGAACCAGTGGTGGACATTCCACATTCATATGACCGGGAGGGCGGTGCTGGGCACCCCCTGTGAATTGACGTGCCCACAATTCCTGTTGACGTCCCACAAAGTTCTGTTGACGTTATTGACTCGACGGGGAGGGGGGGGGAATCTGCTGAGCCGCGCGCGTTCGCTTCCCATGCAAGAGACATCGGATTAGCTCCGTTGGCTACCGATTCAATGCGTAAGCGCCAATGCGTCGTCTCACTACGTTGGTATGATCACGCTTGTTTACCCGGCATTGGCTCAAGCAAGAGAAGAGAACTGCCACTGTTTGGACACACGTGTGTGGGTTGGGGGGGGGTGACAACAGGGAAATTAAATGTGTTGTTGGGAAAAATGGAAGGAACCGGACAGAGAGGAAGACCTAACGGAGAGTGGCTTGACTTAGGACGACATCGCAAGAGATCGGTGCCAGGAGGATGTGGCCCACTACTTGGGCATATTGGCACAAGACAAAGGAAAGTGGAAATAAAATGACGAAATGTGTAGTGGATACCTGCGGGCCTTCTGCCCATGCATGGATCGTGATGATGATGGTGATGATAATTACCCAGCAAAGCGCTCTTTATTCAGGAGGTTCCCTGCGGAGTTGTTCGCAGTCGAGAGCGATGATGCCGATGCGTAGCCCCAAGGGAGTCAAATTCTGCGGGCGACATTTCGCCGTTGCGATGTTTGGGAGACACCGGTTACACTCTGTGATTTTGCTCAGCTGTGGGAAGCAACCGATGCAGAGATACGAGAGGCGCCCGAGTTTGGCATCGAACCCATGGGTTCTTGCTGTGAGTCACGAGTGTCAACCACCACTGAGGCACCCAGCCACCCGGTAAAGGGTATACACAGCAGGTATGTTAACTCCGTGGTGATGATGATGATGATGATATTGATCGTTAACAACGATGAAAGAATGGTGAATATAAGTAACACGATAAATACACCGACGATTATACATATCTGTTGTGTATTGATGTGTTCGTCAGTTTAACACGTAGTAGGCTTTCGCGACCAATGTCGTCCAAAATACGGGTTTTTTTGGGGTTAGATCTCGTAAATATATAAATGTGTCGTTAAACCCGCCACCACCCGACACAGCCAACTAGTAAGGGTTATCACGTAAACAGAACGTGACCAATTCGTCACTAGTACAGCACTAACCGGTGTGTTGGAGAGCCAAGCCACAACATTTACAATCTGAGTACGTATGTACGTTGAACTTCTTTCGCACCCTACGTAGCCAACCGTGCTAATCGGAGGGGCGGGGGTGGGTGGGGGCGGGTAAGGATAACAAACTAAAATATATCTTTTTTTGCATAGGACTGGAACACATCTAACAGAAAGGGTTTCTTGCCTATGAACATCTGGAAGTTCACCAACGTTGGTTCACTGACGCTGCTAACGCGACACTAAATGTCGAATCGGGTCGAGAATGTGCTCGTATCAAACCAGTGCTGCTCAAATGATGCACTCCCACAAGGCCGTGCGGCTCATGGGGTGTGTAAAATAAACGTTGATTTATGTTGAGAAACAGACATGTAACGGAAGAATATCATCTGATTGTTAAGGATGATGTTGATCGGTGATGACAATAATGATTACGATCATGATACTGCTGATGATCTTCATCATCAGCCACCATCACCATCGACAATAATGACGATCGTAATGCTTTTACTGCTGCAGATGATGATGATGATGAAAATGAAGATGATTATGATGCTATTGATGCAGCTGACGATGTTGATGATTGGTGTAAACGATGATGCTGCTGATGATGATGCTGCTGATGCTGCTATTGATACTTACACTGATGCTGCCGATAGCTACGACGATAATGACGATGACAATTATGATCACAATCGATTTAGATGATCTTCCCATGGTGATGCTGGTGCTGCTACTGCTGCTGATGATACTGGCCGTGTGAAGGGACAAAAACAAAGACAAAGATCCCCCGTATAGCCTGTGACAGACTGTTGGGGCAAGTGCTGTTAACGAAAACCTATGAAGGCCGGCACGGCACACGAGGGGGTGGGTGGCCAACACCACGCCCCACCGCCTTTGTATCCCCAGTGGTGATGTTTACACACCGCACCAAGTATTAATTTGCGGCTGAGTCTACCTACGACAGGCCCAGGCCCCGTTCAGATAATCATCACTGGTGTTGTCCCGTGAGCCGGAATCGAACCCGGATCGCCTTGCGCGTAGCACAGCGCCCTGACCGCTACACTACCGCTCCCCACACATACGCCACGCACCACACACACCACGTCCTCACCCTCTCGCTGTGGTGAGAGCCCCACTGGCTGATGTATTAAACTCGCTCTCGTCGCACGCACGCACGCCGACCAACCACACCCCCGTTGCCATGAACGCGCATATACGAAGCGACGGGGGGGGGGGTGTCGGACGAATTGATGCGGTGGGGGGTTGTGGGGGGGTGGTGATGTGGAATGGGGGGGGGGACTTAAACAATTATATATGTTAAAAGTCACTGAGTCACTTATAAACGAGGAGGCGAGCAGCCCGTGAACCCTCGCACCCCCATCAGTATGCATGCCTGGCCGAGACCGGCTTCGCTCCAAAGTTACAAAAACCCCAAAGCCTCAATTCCTCAATTCTCGCCCCTCCACTCCGTTTCCCTCTCGCTCAAATGAACGATTATTCCTCTAAAGAAACGAGAGGGGGGGGGGCGGAGGGGGAGGCAATGGGAGCAGATAGACAGAATAAGAAAGGAATGAAAAGAAGAGCATTAGAACGCAGCGGCGTGACTTTGGCTTTGAGCGAGAGGGTTTTTTGAAAAGGTGCAAACAGCCGCTTCTTGCGGCAGGAGAGTGATGGTGTGGGATGGCTACTCGGTGGTTGTGTGGATGTCAGCAGTTGGGGTGATGCTGGCCCATTATAGGGGCCCTAAGCAGAATAATTATTTTTTGGGGGGTGGGCCCTCCTCCCGTGGAGCGATAAACTCCCAGCGAGAGAGATATGAGCACGACATGGAGGTGGAGCGAGATGACAGACACCAGCGGTCGTGAGATGAGAGAGGAGTGATGACAGAGATGACAGCCACGATCGAGATGAAAGATTCATGAGCGTGTTAATGTCCATTTAGGTTTTGAATTCGAGCTGACTTTTGGTTCACCGCTAATTTACGTGAAATTTATGGACCCTTGGGCTGCTTGGGACCCCAAGTATTGGCTTAGTATGCTTATTGCAAGCGTCACCACTGAGTGTCATCACACGAGGATGGGCGGTGTTCAACGTAACTTTAATCATAGTGATAAGAATGCACGTATTCCCATTTGTTTGCCACGGTGCAAAATTCGCCGAGTCTCAAGAACCCCTTTTCAAGAGGGTCCTACTGCATCGAGATCTTTGGCCAAAGTCCATTAATGAGTTGCCTGGCTTCGAGTGGGAGGAAATCTGGGAACGGGGAGAAACCCCACCACGAATACGACGCGGGTAACGCTTAAAACTCCGCACAGATAGGTTCAAGGATGCAACGCTGTGAAATACTAACATTGCCCGGCCACCTCGTAGCTCTCTGGTCTACATAACACCTCATGGGCCCTGGTAGTTTCCCGTACGAGTGCGAACCAGGCTTAACAATTAAATCCGTATTATCTCACGATATTGGCCACATTGAGGGCCCATTTGGGTCAGCAGTAGTATTACCCATTAAGGCGATGACTATTGTCACGGTGACGATTATTATCAGCATCATCGCTTCACCCGCGCACACAAGCAGACAGCTTTTCGCTGGGATGAGCTGAAAGTATTCGTGGTTTGATCGTTGCATTTTTTAAAATATTTTCGTGGTTTAATCGTTGCATTTAAAAAAAAATGTTCATCCAATGCACGAACAGCAGTAGCAACCATTCCGTGTAGCACCACACCTCGCCGAAGCTCCCACGTGGCCGAACGCGCACACGGTTCACTGCATGAATACTGATAGGGGAGGAGGAGCAGGACTCTGGGAGGGGAGGTAGGGATGTAGGGAGGGAGGGAGGTAGGTGGGTGGGTGAGTGAGTGAGTGGGAAAGAGCGAGGGAGGGTGTGTGTAGAGAGAGAGAGAGCGCGCGGGAGAAACGGAGAGCGAGAGAGACACAGAGACACCAAACTCCGGTGGAAGTCAGAGCAGACTTTTGCCTCAATGCGCCGAGACTCCGAGACCCCTCAGCTCCAGGGACGCGGCCACCCCATGCTGCCCCGGGCGAGCATCGCGAACCCAGGAGAAGTCGACCTGGAGGAGGAACTCTCCTCTCGTCCCGCGCCAGACTTCGCCGCCCTCAATCTCGCCGGTGTCACGAAAGCAGCAGTCGCCGCGTTTTACTTAAACGCCTAAAAGGGAATTATCAACGACGTTTTTTTTTCTTTTTTTAAATACATTTTCATCTTATTCCAAGAACTGTCACGTGCATCGCGCACTCGGTCACAGGACCCGCGGCGCGCACTCGGGAGTGCGCGCGCGTGCGTGTGAGTGAGAGAGAGCGAAACAAAACGTCTGTTGCGTTTGAACTTTTCACTGGTGGAGCCGGGAGTGGAGCCGGGAGGAGGTGGTGCTGGCGGCTGCGAGGTGGCCCCCGGTGCTCGCGTGTAAACCCGAGCGGCTTTTGGGCTCCCGCGCGAGATTTTTCGCCCAGCGATGAGCCGGGACCTCCAGCGCTGGCTCCCGCAGGTGTTGATGTGCCTCGGCCTCGTCTACTTACGCATTGGGTAAGAAGGAGAAGACCCCCCCCCCCCCACTCTCCACACCCCCCCCCCCGCGCGCGCACACTGCTCACACTCGGCTCCGATTAAGCACGGTCGGATACGTACGGTGCGAAAGAAGTTCAACATACGTACGTACATACACGCGTGCTCATCTCCATCACTGCTTACACGCTCATCCATCGATCCCTCCGTCTCTCCGGTCCACCAAAATCTGTTTTCCTACTCACCTGTCCATCGCTCTGATAACAAAACAGATACGCAGACAACGCATCTCTTTCATATGTTTGTCTTTCCACGTAGCATGAAAAACGCGTTTCTTTTTTAGCACGACCGATACGACCCACGAACCCCTGTGAGTGAAATCATTTCGACACTATCGATTAAGTCGGTACAAGCAGACTGTGCGTCGGTTTTGATATCCCGTGTCCCATCGGCAGAGTCGGACTTGCTCGAATCAATCAATGCTGGTGAACTGGCAGGTTTTAATCGCTAAGGGCCCTCTCTTCAAGACGCGGACTCGAGATCGACTCACACTTGTGTAATGCAGAGAACCCTAATGCAGCTCCGTGATACATCAGTATCTAACCACCTTTCTCTCGAACTCACCCCCCATCCCCCCGGGGTTCTCAGTTGGTTCCGCAGAAGCAATTTCGCCCAAGCTGAAAGGCGCGCACAGCGCGGTGAGCATAGGGGAGCCCTTGGTGCCAGCGATGAGAAATGCCCCCCCCCCCACCCTATGTTCAATGCCCCCCCCCCCCCACCCCATGTTCAATGCCCCCACCCTCTTGGTAGTCCGCCGCCTGGGCCCGGTTCGGCACCCTGGAACCCAGAATAAGAATCAGAATGTTTATTTATACGCGAGCTGTAAAGCTTCATTTTGTTGCACAGATGTCCAGTAGTCCGGCGCAGTTGCACCGCCTGCTACCACACGCCACTTGGCGCAAAGTCTGAGTCTCGAGGCTATCGTCCAAGAGGTTCCTGCGGAATTTGTACGTTTGGTTGATTTCATCAGTGAGTTGTTTGGCTTCGCATGGAAGGAAACCAGAATTGCACGGAGAAAGTCCACATAGCCGCCGAGCAACTAACACTTAAAAGCTCCGCACAGAGCGGTGCGTTTAAATCCACCTCGCAGGCCAAGAGCCAGCAACACGTGATGTTATTATTATTCGGCACGAACCAGGCTCAGCGCTGCTTAGCTTCGAGCGCACGCGTGCGTGTACGCTCAACTTCTTTCGCACCGCGCATAGACAACCGTGCCAACCGGAGGTGCGTTGCTGCTTCGGCGGCGAGCGTGTGATCCTGTTTACGCGTTGCAAGAGCTCACCGAAGCGGAGCGGAGACTTTGGAGCCAAATCTGTGGCGTGCGTAGAAGTGGGCTCCCCGCATTCACCAAACACGCGCTGACCACCAGCGCGGCGAAGTATGGTCGAGTTAACCCCCACGCATCCCCAAGGCGCTGGGGGAAGCTGGCCCTTCCTCCATCCAGCAGTGGGTTGGCAAAGGGGCTCTACACACGCGTGTGTGTGTGTGGGTGTGTGGGTTTGTGTGTGCGCGAAGCTGAGTGGTTTGACTCGAGCATTGCATGTTGCTCGGGGTTTAGCAGGCGAGTGGCAGAGTCATTCTCACACGAGTGGGCAGAGACAAAGATGCCCCGTGTAGACTTAACGGACTGTTGGGGCAAGTGCTGTTAGCGAGCGCCTCTGAACGCCGGCACGGCTTTTATAGGAAGGAGGGGGGGGGGGGTTGACGGGTAGGTGGCTAACATCACGCACGCCTGGCCGCCTTTGTCTCTCCCGTGCCGATATTTACACATCGCACCAGATAGTAATTTGAGGCTGAGTCGACCTAAGGAGCGGTCCGAGATCGGTTTAGATACTCGTCGCCGGTGTTGCTGGGTTTCGCAGCGCGTTGTGCTAACCGCTGCGCCACCGCCCCCCCACAAGTTTACGCACACGCACAGTCACTGGCGGAGCCAGTGGGGGGGTGGGGTGGCACGTGCCCCCCCAATGATCCGATCGAAATCCAGAATTTATAATCCATAATTTCGATCGGATCATTGGGGTTTATTAGTAATAAATCGGTATTTTGCGACCCCCACTGCCACTGTGTAGCATATTATTACGTGTCACGGACTTTATGAGATGATAGGACAATAGTCTGAGTCCATAATTGGCAATAAGTAACGGCAAAGCGGTTATTAGTGACTCACAGAATTGTGCGCAGTTGCGTATACAGTCCACGACTTCCCTGAAGGCATTCACCTTCAGCGAGCGCGATGCCGATCACACAACGCGGTTCGAATTCGACCCTCGATCGATGGCTGCGCCATCGCCGCACACGCGTCGAATAAAAAGCAAGGGACAAGTCCTTACTGACTAACAACTTTTATCATTTTTCATTGCTGGAGGGGTTGCCACCGCCTCTACCTGAAAATCCTGGCTCCGCCATTACGCACAGACACACAGGTGTATTATTCTCCGAGTTCATCTTGGTTCTTTCGGTAAAGTCACGTAGAATGGAAATAATAAAATAATAAAAATAAAACAATAAAATAATTCTCACGACGTTTCGGCCACAACGCAAGCAGCCGTCCTCAGGTGAAGAACAGGTCTGTCGAGAAGACAGAGAAGACTGCAGTCTGTCAGAGTCTGTCTTCTCGACAGACCTGTTCTTCACCTGAGGACGGCTGCTTGCGTTGTGGCCGAAACGTCGTGAGAATAATTTTATAATGTTTTATTATCATTATTTTATTATTTCCATTCTACGTGACTTTACCGAAAGAACCTTGAAGATGAATCCCTGCAGTCACGAAAGCTTTAAATCCAAATTTATTCTCCGGGTGATAAAACCTTCCGGATAGTAAGACGCACCCCCCCCCCCGCCCCCCCAAAGTGGTGCCCGCTGTCTGTGTACAACTATCCAGATGTGGCTCCCCACTAGCACGCCTCCCGGATTATAAGACGCATCCACAACTTTTGGCTAAACGCAGATAACCATCCATAATGCAGGGTTCTTTTTGAGGTTAGATCGCGTACATTTATAAATGTGTCGTTAAACCCACCACCACCCGACACAGCCAACTAGTAAGGTTTGTCACATAAACAGAACGTGGCCAATTCGTTACTAGTACAGCACTAACCGGTGTGTGTTGGAGAGCCAAGCCACAACATTTACAATCTGAGTACGACGTTTCGCCAGTCATTACAACCAGCTTCATCAGGCGGCAGGCATATTTGTGGAACAGGTGGACTTCTCCACAAATCTGGCCGTTGGCTGATGAAGCTAGTGTCTGGGTTAGATTGCGTAATTAACGTAAATTACGCGATCTAATCTGTATTATGGATGATATTTGTCGCGAATGCCTACTACGTGTTAAACAGATAAGTATGATATCACAGACGATCGTGATGATGGTGGTGAATATCTAACGCCAATTCTCACTATGTGCGGAAGAGATGTACCGGTCGAGGGAGATATTTTACCACTCCACTGCTGGACGAGAGCCTCTCCACGTCGTTCGTGTTGTGTGTGGGGACGGGGGAGGGGGGAACCGTGCCGGATGATCCTAGTAGCAAAAGTAGCTACAACACGTGTGTAGTAGCTACAACACACGTGTGTAGTAGCTACTACACGTGTAGTAGCTACTACAACACACGTGTTGTAGTAGCTACTACACACGTGTTGTAGTAGCTACTACACACGTGTTGTAGTAGCTACAACACGTGTAGTAGTAGCTACAACACGTGTGTAGTAGCTACAACACGTGTGTAGTGTAGTAGCTACAACACACGTGTTGTAGTAGCTACTACTACACGTGTTGTAGTAGCTACTACATGTGTAGCTAGGGGCCCCGCACTTTCAAGGGCCCCGCGCTAAATGCTTTCAAGCTATAAATTCCGGTTCAGTGATTCTGCACTTGCTCTATTACTATAGTACTATACCGCCTTCAACTTTTATGAACGGCTGGGTGTTTAAGGTTAGCGATTTGTCGTATTATCTGTGGCTGTATAGCAAATAAAAATACAATTACTTTACTGTGCAAGTAAAAAAATAATATTTTTATATATGTATTTTTTAAAATTTAGGGCCCCTTTATAACATATGCTACAGGCCACGCACGAGCTTAATCCGGTACTGGCTGGGGGTATATTTGACCATACTTCACCACGCCGGTGCGCGCTGGTGAAGGCAGGACGCATCTTCGCTTGCGGGCATGGCGCAGTACAGCAATGGATGTCGCTTGACTGCTTCCTGCTGCCCGCGTAGTCCTGCAAGCAGCAACAGCAGCAGCAGTAGGAGCAGCCTACAACACCTGTTATGCATTGTAGAGTCAACCCATCCAAGCGCGAGTCAGGATCAGCGCTGCTTAGCGTCCGAGATCTCACAAAGTGTGTCCGTGTCTCTGTGTGTATTCGTGTCTGTGTGTGTCTCCGTATCTGTGTTTGTCTCCGTATGTCTGTGTGTCTGCGTGTCTCTCTGTGTGTATTCGTGTCTGTGTATCTCCATGTCTCTCTGTGTATATTTGTGTTTTTGTGTGTGTTTCTGTATGTCTCCGTGTTTCTGCGTGTGTATTTGTGTCTGTGCGTGTGTCTGTGTGTGTTTGCGTGTCTGTGTGTGTCTCCGTGTCTCTGTGTGTGTCTCCATGTATTTGTGTGTGTCTCAGTGTCTCTGTGTGTGTGTGTTTCCGTATCTCTATGTGTGTCTCTGTGTGTGTCTCCGTGTCTCTGTGTGTGTCTCCGTGTCCCTGTGTGTGTCTCTGTGTGTATCTCTGTGTGTCTCTGTGTGTGTCTACGTGTCTCTGTGTGTCTCCGTGTCCCTGTGTGTGTCTCCGTGTCTCTGTGTGTATCTCTGTGTGTCTCTCTGTGTGTGTCTCCGTGTCCCTGTGTGTGTCCTCTTTTCCGCGGGAAAGAATCTCGACTCTTAGAACTCAGCTATGCGTTACAGTTAAAATCGCGGATAATAGGATTAAATAGAGCGGCGGTTAAGAGGGGTTTTCGCGGACCATTTAGCTTTTGGACTGAAAACTTTCGTGACTGCAAAAAAATCATATTCTTTGTTCTTTCGGTAGTCACATAAATAGAAAAAAATTTGTAAATAAAAATGATATTTGAAATGTATTTTTGTACATTTTTAAAATAATTTTCAAATATTTTTTGTATTAAATTTTGGTGTATTTTTTTTTCTTATTTTTTTTGTTCTATTTACGTGACTATACCGAAAGAACCAAGAATATGACCATATAGCTGCCGCGGATAATAGGAATGCGGGTGCTGTATTCAGTACTGTGAATTCACTGGCATATATATTGTAGTCAATTTTGTATTACTTTGTTGTTTTGTTTCTGACTTTATGTGAACGAAAGTACACAAATTCGCCCATTTTCTCATTGAAAGTAGGTACATTTCAAAATACCACTGCCCTGGTCACAAAAGCAAAGTTTGTGAGGAATAATAGCTATTTTCTGTACTTTTGAGGCATAAGAAATTAGGAAATAACACTATCCAGGAACAAAAAAAATTGTTACACAGTGTTATTCAACGGACTCACACATGCCGGAGCATTGATAGCCTCTATTCATGCACACTGTGTTGAGTGTAGCTGGGATTAGCCTCTATGCATGTGTAGTGTAATAGCGCCAGCTGGTGGACAGTAGCGGCAACTGTAGTGTGTTGGCAGAGCGGAGGAACTGGGGCAAGGGTCACGGAGGACCCCGTCTGGAGGCCCCTGGAACCTGCTAGCGGGTTCGAGAAGGGAGGCGCGGTCAGAGCAGAGCCAGGCTGCGCTGGTAGCATAAAAGGAGCCAAGAGCGGGGAGCTCAAAGCTGCCGGTTCTGGGCGTGGACTCATCTCATCGTTGCTGTCGTCTCGTCGCCGTCGTCGCTGCCGTCTCCGCTAGATATTGCGCTACGAAGGATAGTAGCTGGCTATCTCAGTCAGCGCCATCAGTGTTAGATGGCTGGTGTTGTGTACAGGCTAGGCTAAGCTTCTGTGGAGAGTGTGTGGACGAGTCCGTAGTAATTGTTAATAAAGAAGGTGCCTCCTATAAACTCTGTCTCTGAATCGTTGACACTACAACTGGTGTCAGAAGTGGTTGGAAAATTTGACAGGCATTAGGGTATAAGTTACAATGTCGAAGCTATCCAGGAAGAGGAACCCACCCGTAGTGTCATCAGAAGACGAGGATGGCGAGACGGTCATCCCTCCGACAGCCTCGGGACCTCAGTTAGAAACTCCGTGGGCATGGGAGTGGTGGCTGTGGATCAGCGGGAGAGGGGCACTGATCCTCCTGAGTCGCGAATGGGGTGGCGCGAGGAGGTTGGCCGCCTCAACCTGCTCCCCGTGACCATCAGCCAGCTGGTCACACAGCTCTCCGCGTCCGCACCTGCCGTCCAGGGGACGGTGAGTGGGCCGCGAGGCTCGGCGAAGCTGCCACTTGCAGCAGCGATTCCCACGACGGAGACCACGCGATTGCCGGGTGCCATTTTGCCCGTGGAGGGCACGGCATGGCTGGCAGGTGCCATTTGGAGTGAGACGTGGGACGATGCTAAGGCGGTGCTACAAGGGACCGTATGCCGACCATGATGGTTGTCTCCCGTTCGGGAATTTGTGGCGGCGGGAGACGATTTTACGGCGTTCCGTCATCGCTTCGAGGCAGCTTGGTTTTCCATCGGGTGAATGGAAGAGGATGCCCTGCGAGCCCTACCGATGGCCGTCGATGACGATACGTTGGTGGCATTCAAGGCCATCCCGGAAGGTGATCGGTCAACTCTCCAGCGGGCATATGCCCAAATAGTCGGAGTCTTTGACACGCCATATAATGCCCGCAGGAGATTTTTGCAGCGGAAGTGAGGGAAGGCCAAGACGCCTCTCGCTTTTCGTAGGACTCTGCTGGCGTTGGGACAGGAGGCATATCCCCACATGGACCGGATGGCGCTCGACTCCCTAGCAGTGAAGAGGCTGCTATCTTTGGCACAGGAGTTGGGGGTCGTCCTGGCGATCATGGAGGACGATGAGTAAACGTCTTTGAAGGTGGCCCGGTGGATTCATGCCCACAATAGCATGCAGCAGTGACTCAAGGTGGCGACTTGGACTGGAGACGCCGAGGCACAGAGACCCAAGTGCCGGGAGGTGGAGATGGTGGCTGCGGTGTACGGCTATGGGCTGTGCTTGGAGGGGCTTCTTCCGAAGGCCGACGGGATGGAGTTGGTGAGAGTGGCTGCCCCTTCCACCTTGGAGACCCACGGCCACCTGCTTCAGGTGTGGTCGGCCGGGCCACGTCGCAAGAGAGTGCCGGGGTATCAACGCGACATCGGTAGCGCCACCAACGCCCTCCACCCTGCCGGCTTTTGCCCCCCAAGCCCCACACAACCCAAGCCTGTGATGCCGGAAAATTTTCCGAGGTCGCCGTGTGTGAGAAATCTAAGGCTGGAGCCTGGTCAAGTGCTGCTAATGAATCCAGGGAGGGGCCATGCCCTTTCGGCTGTTTTTTGTGTATTCCTCGGAGCCCCACAAGAAGTGCAAGATCCTGCCCAAGGTGGGGGACCGGCGTCAAGGACCAAGGCTCAGATGAGCAATGTTCCAGTAAAGCGGACTTTCTCTTGTACTGTGTGATTGGGAAAAATTACGTGTTAAGGATAATGGGCACTGAGAAGGGGTTTATGGTGCTGCGTGTTTTGTGTTAATGGTTGTTGTTGTTGTCGTTGATGGGTATTTTTTGCCTGCGCCACGCGCCGAGTGTCACATCTGTTGTGTTGTCGGTTGGCGGGGGTGCCGCGGTTGTGCTGTGTGCCTGCGTGCACGCCGACATGCTCAGGTGGAGCAGGTGTTGGGTTGTTGGTTTGCTGGGAGTATCGCGACTATGGTTTTGGTTGGTTGTTTTTTTTGTGCTTTTTGACGTTCCTCGGTTGTGGGAGTTGCTCTACCTATCCACCCGGTTGCGTTGCTGTGTATCAGCCGGGATGGCTGGTTTTTTTTAAACAAGCGGGGGGGGGGGGGGGGGGTGATGTAGTGTAATAGCGCCGGCTGGTGGACAGCAGCGGCAACTGTGGTAGACAGACAGTACACACGCCGGTGAGGGTGTGCACGGTGTGTTGGCAGAGAGGAGGAACCAGGGTAAGGGTCACAGTGGACCCCATCTGGAGGCCCCTGGAACCTGCTAGCGGGTTCAAGAAGGGAGGCGCGGTCAGGTGCTGGGTTGCATTAAAGGAGCCGAGAGCGGGAGCTCGAGGCTGTCGGTTCTGGGAGTGGACTCGTCTCATCGTTGCTGTCGTCTCGTTGCCGTTGTCGCTACTGACTGTCTCCACTAGATATATCGCTACGAAGGATAGTAGTTTGATATCTCAGTCAGCGCCGTCAGTGTTAGACATGGTAAATTGGACTTTCATGGTAAATTGGACTCCCATGGAAAATTGGACTTCCATGGTAAACCGGACTTCCATGATGAAATGGGCTTCCATGGTAAACTGAACTTCCATGGTGAATTGCACTTTCTTGGTAAACTAAACTCCCACGGTAAATTGGATTTCCACGGTAAATTTGACTCAAGTGGTAAACTGGACTGCTGCTGCTAATATTGCAGCTGATGACGATCCGCGTGCACCCCCCCACTCCCCCTCCCCTCTCCCCAGGGCCTTGTCGTCCGTGGTGGCGCTGGGGGCTAACGTGATCTGCAACAAGATTCCGGGGCTGGCGCCGCGGCAGCGCGCCATCTGCCAGAGCCGGCCCGACGCGATCATCGTGATCGGCGAGGGGGCCCAGCTCGGCCTCGCCGAGTGCCACTTCCAGTTCCGCCACGGCCGCTGGAACTGCTCGGCGCTGGGCGACACCACAGTGTTTGGACAGGAGCTGCGAGTCGGTGAGTCACACGGCGGCGCTCGCTGACAGCACTTGCCCCAACGGTCTGTTAAAGGCTATACGGGGGACCTTTGTCTTTGTACTTTGGTGGTGGCGGTGGTGGTAGCGGTGGTGGTAGCGGTGAGCTCGCCGCGCTACAAACCTGAGTTCGATTCCCGCTCACGACCATCAGCACCGGTGACGATTATCTGAACCTGTCCTATACCTCCCCTAGGTCGACTCAGCTTCAAATAAGTACCTGGTTCGGTGTGTGAACATCGCAACAAGGGAGAAATAGGCGTGGTGCTGGTCACCCACCCCCTCGTGTGCCGTGCCGGCCTTCATAGGTGCTCGATAACAACACTTGCCCCAACAGTCTGTTAAGGCTATACGGGGGATCTTTGTCTTCAGTGGTGGGGTGTTTGTGGTGCATCGGTCAGTCATCTTAGTCGGCCAATCCATGGCCCCTGGGTCTGTCCCGTGACCTCCTGTCCGCGAGCCTTCGACATTTCACCTGGCCTCAATGTGCACCGAGCCTGGTACAAGCGCCATGGTGACGTCACCGCCACTTGGTTGCGAACAGCGATTTTATATTGTTGCTGCGTGTGATGTGTGAGCTATGATACGATTCCCACTCACGGCCAAAACAGTGGCGAATATTTGAACAGGTCCTAGACCTTCCCTAGGCTGACTCGGCCTTCAACGAGTACCTGGTGCGGTGTGTAAACTTCAGCACTGGGACGACAAAGGTGATCGGGCATGGTGTTGGCTACCCACCCACTTCGTGTGCCATGCCGGCCTTCATAGGTGTCCCGCTAACAGCTGTTGCTCCAACAGCCTGTTCAGGGCTATATGGGGGGGGGGGGGGGTCTTGGTCTTTGTGAGCCCGAGTAGTGCGTATATGCCAAGACCAGCCTAACCATAGGACAACCACTGTTGATGAGCCACAGAGTGGTATGACTGCCGTTAATATAATAACCCAATGTGTCCTGACTTTTTTGGGCCACCCCTGTAAAGAGTGGTCTGACTGGAGAGGTCTCACTCTGGCTTGGCTGTGTAGCGCTGTGTGCCAGCTGCCTGCCAAGGTAACTCCACACGTAGCACCTGGACCTTCTCATCCGCAAATATTGGGCCTTCTCTCTACCCTCGCAATTAAAAAACATAACCCCCAATGCAGAAACGCCTACGCCGGCATAGGCCTTACAATCCATCCTGTTCATAATAGAGGTTTTTTTGGGTTAGATCGAGGTAATATATATGTGTCGTTAAACCCGCCACCACCCGACACAGCCAATTAGTAAGGTTTGTCACGTAAACAAAACATGCCAATTCTTTGCTAGTTCAGCACACCGGTGTGTTGGAGAATGCTCGAACGGTGAATGTTGTGGGTTTACTCTCCAACACACCGGTGTGCTGAACTAGTATCGAATTGCCATGATTTGTTTACGAGACGAACCTTACAAATTGGCTGTGTGTCCGGTGGTGGCGGGTTTAACGACACGTTTAATATTCACGCGACCCAAACCCAAACAGACCTCTATCATGGACAAATTAATTTGGGTCGCGAAAGCCAACGCGCTGAGCAATCCATTCTGTGTTTTAGATTCCGAGAGGGTCTGAGCAGAGTGCCTTCAGCAGGCGAGGAGGAGGAGGAGATTGCGACGACTGTGTTTGCGTTGTCCACGCGTCCAAACCGCCGCACGTTTCGCGCAGCTTCCGTGTGTCCCGCTTCTAAGGGGGGCTCAAGGAAGTGGAGCCCGGGCTAGAGAGGGGATGGGGCCGTCGTGCCACGCAGAGGCACCTGGAGCCCCTAGTCGTCTCGCCAGGCACTGGGAGGCACCGGGGGGGGGGGGGGGGCTCGTGAAAGACGTTACTAGGCAGTGGAGGCAGCTGCCCTCCACAAACAAAAAGGACACGCGGAGAGAAGCTCGTAACATTTAGTGGAGTTACACGGCGGCTAAATCAACGAGTTTGGTATGTTTGTGGTGCGCGTGCAGATCGCCTCGGTCCGTTAACCCGTAACACTTGGGTCTGTCCCACGACCTCAAAGTGTCGGTAGCCTAGAGCAAGCACGTGGTTATGTCACTGCCATTTATCTGGGAATAGCAGCAGCTGGTGGTGGTGGTGTTTTTGAGTCCCCAAGTAGTGTGTGTATCTCAGTGGTCTTCATGTGCACATGGATCTCTGTCCCAGTAGTGTGTACACGTATGTGTAGCGGTTGCTCCTGAACAGCACTTGACCCAACGGCCTGTTCAAGCTTTACGGGGGGCCTTTGCCTTTGTAGCGGTTAGCGCGCTGCGTTACGAACCCGGCGAACCGAGTTCGATTCCCGCTCACGGACACCACCAGTGGCGATTATCTGAACCGGCCCTGTGCCTCCCCTAGGTCGACTCGGCATCAAATGAGTACCTGGTGCAGTGTGTAAAATCATCGCCACTGGGGGAAACAAAGGCAATGGGGCGTGGTACTGGCCACCCACCCCTTTGTGTGCCGTGCTGACCTTGATAGGTGCTGCTCGCTAAACAGCACTTGTCCCAACAATCTGGTCAGGCTATACGGGGCATCTTTGTCTTGGCGTGGTCCCCATTGATTATAAGGAAATCGCCTTGAGCGCAACATCCATTGAGGCATGTCCCTTGCTCGGCGTGCCTGTGTAACGTTACAGCGCAGCGACCTGACCAGTTGCTCCATACGAAGTCATCTTTACAGCAACGCCTGCACTGGCTTGAAGCATTCAGGCTGACCCGGCCGCGTGATACACCCTGGGTTCAACCGGGCAATATTGTGCGAGGAGCTCACAGATCATTGGAAGCTCCAAGCACGATCTAGTTTGAGACGCCATGGTAGCGAGATGTTAACGGCATCGCCTGGTATACAGGAGGTCGTGGCTTCGATCCCGACCTTGACGCCTGCTGTATAATTGGGGTTTCCATGTTCTTCCCGTGGTCGCGTAGATTTTTTTTCCGGTCCTCCGGTGTTTCCCTCCAAATTTAAAAACGTGCGTTTAGAGCGTATTTGGATGCTGTAAATGTCCACGTGACAAAGCCACTTCCTTGAGCTGTCATTTGTGGCCAGGTCGCTGCTGAAAAAAAAAGATCTAGATAGCTCAATGGGGCCTTACCTAGTAAAACAAAATAAAAAATGTAGTTGAATAGTTTTCGTTTGGCACTGGTACGTGCCGAGAGTGGCAGTTGTTGCCCTGTTTGTTCCCATCACGTGTGCGCACGACACGCAAGGGTTATAGTTCCCGGTGTGGGTACATGGGTGAGCACGTGTGTGTGTTCCATGCGTGTATGCGAGTGCATTTGACCTAGCACTGTGTGTGTGCCTGCATGCGTTCTATTCGCATGTGGGGAGCGACGGCGCAGAGGTTAGATTACATGAACCGGTCCTATGCCTCCCCTAGGTTGACTCAGCCTCAAATGTACGGCGTGTAAGCTTTGCCGCTGGAGAGACAAAGGTGGACAGGCTTGGTGCAAGTCACACCCACCCCCTCGTGCGCCATGCATCTCAGACTAACACGGTTGGCTACGTACGGTGAAAAAAAAGTTCAACATACATCTGTAGTGTGCCAGTTCACAGACACTCGTAGGAGGTGCTCTCTCTCTTTTATTCCGGCCTTCACAGCCTTAGGGGACAACCAACATGCTACCAGACCCACAGCTAGAAGAAGGCAAATATCACAACGACGACGATGGCACGCCGCGTTCCACTCCAGCTCGCAGCAGCCCCGACTGTGAGTCGGAGCTCGCCCTTTTATCCTCCCCAGCGTGGCCAGGCTCCGCCCTCGGCCCCGCATCCCTCTGGATCCTCCAGAGGGCTCTGTGCCTTGCCCACAGGTGCAACTGGTAGAACGGGCTGCTACCCCCAATTCTATTGTCTACCAGTCTCCCAGCGGCACGCGCTAGTGACTCATTCCATGTCACTACACATGCTTGCCGGCCTTCATAGGTGCTCGCAAACAGCACGCGCCTAAACATCACGTGTAAGCTACATAGGGGATATTCTTAGGTTTTTTTCGGTAAAGTCACGTAGGTAAAAAATTAAAATTAATAAAAGTAAAATAAAAATAGAAATCACGACGTTTCGGAGGCAACACAAGCTTCCGTCTTCAGGTGGAACCGTCACAGCCCGACAGCTGTATCAAGTAAATGAGAGATTACAAGAGATACCTACGTGACTTTACCGAAAAAACCTAAGAATATGAATCCTTGCAGTCACGAAAGCTTCAAATCTACATAGGGGCTCTTGATCTTGGTGCGCTCCGGGAGGCTTGCAACAGCGCGTCTCGGTAAAGTGCGAGATTCGACAGCACGCCTATCCCAGCTGTTCATCAACGTGGCCATTCAGCAAAGTGTCGCAATTCGATTCGCGTGAGAATTCACGTTTCGTCTCGTTTGCGTTGCATGTTGTTATTGTTTTTTTCTTCTTGTCCGTGTCGCTCGTACACGTTTTTTGTTCACCCCATTAGCCGAAGAAGGTTATCAATCGCAACCGCTTGTCCGGTTCTTTCGCACGCGATCCGACGCAGTGCATCGTGAGCAGAAGGAATCCATTTGAAGAGACGCATCGAATGCGGACACGCCGAGGTCGTGAACGAAATATAACACATCGATGGTAACCTGCAAAAGTTTGCTGCATGCAGAGACGCAGGCTTGGAATTACACCTGCCGACAAAACAGAGAGAGAGGTGCACGTGGGTTAGAGAAGACACATACAAACAGGTGGATGACATCACCCAAAGTATTGAGAAAAGTGATTGGGGCTTGGGCAGGACGCGTCAATCAATCAATCCGAGATTTGTCACGCGCCACGCTTAGCAGCAATCTGAGATGGAAGGGGCGGGCGGCGCTGAGAACATTCAACCGAAGGCGAAGAGCAGAACAAAAAACAATATTATTAGTCCGATCCTAAATCACCGATCGTCGCGGCTGAGCAGACTTTCAGTGCAGCAGAGCCTATTCCAAACCACGTGACTGCCGGTGAGAAGCTGCGTTCTGCTGACCTAAGCCGAGTGGATGTTAAACTAAACTGAACATTTTTTTTATTTCCTGGTAAGGCCCAATGAGCTGTATAGTTCTTTTTCAGAAGCGATCCGGCCACAAATGAAAGCTCACCGAAGTGGCTTATTATCATCACGTGGAAATGTATAGCAGCCAAATACTCTAAACGCGTGATTCTAAACGTGGAGGGAAAACCGGAGCACCTGGAGAAAAATCCACGCGACCACGGGGGGAAAACATGCAAATTCTAAATATACAGCAGGCGTTCGGGTCGGGATCTAACCCACGACCTCCTGAATACCAGGCGAGGTAGCTAACATCTCGCCACCGTGCCAGCAGGTCCATGGCGTCACTGGAAGGGTCGATGTATCGATGGTCAAGCATAATAACGGAGTGGCATTCAAGGAAGTGAACGCATCCGAGGAGATGGAGCTGTGAAATCGGTGCAATCACAAGGTCGTCAGAGGGGACGACGGCTTGGACAGGCCTTCATCCAGCAGTGGATTGGCCACCACTGATGATGATGATGAATAAATGCGTCCTTACACACCCACTTGTTAGAGTGAAGTGTTTGTGTGACCTTCAACAAAGGGCTTGGGCGATCTGGCCAACTCACATTACCGGGTCTGACCCGGCGTGATGTGTGGGTATGTGGTGCTGTTGGGGCGTCCTGTGGGGAGCAGTAGCGGAGTGGGTAGCGCTACGAATCCGACAGAGACCCGAATTCGATTCACGCTCGCTGCCAACACCGGTGACGATTTGTCTGAACGGGTCCTGGGCCTACCCTAGATCGACTCAGCCTCAAATGAGTACCTGGTGTATGATATGTAAACATCGCCACTCGAGAGACATAGGCGGCAGGTCAATCTTATCAATCCTTGATCGTTTCTGCGTGGATTAAATATCGGCCGTTCTGTAGGATTCTGGGTTAGGGGGGTGTGTAAAAAGTCCGCGTGCGTACAGGGAGAGGGGGGTGGGGGCTCAAGTTCTGACAGATGTTTGCGTACCTACTAAATGGATGTGCCCCTAAGCCAGCCGTGATAATTGGGAGGCGTTCGTGCGGTTGTTCACGTCTCGTGCCGCTGCTGCTGCTGCTGCTCCTGCTGCTGCTGCTCCTGCTGCTGCTGCTCCTGCTGCTGCTCCTGCTGCTCCTGCTGCTCCTGCTGCTGCTGCTGCTGCTCCTGCTGCTGCTGCTCTTGCTGCTGCTGCTGCTCCTGCTGCTGCCAGGGAGCCGAGAGGCCGCCTTCACCTACTCGGTGCTGGCCGCCGGCGTGGCCCACGCCGTCACGTCGGCCTGCAGCCGCGGCAACTTGAGCGAGTGCGGCTGCGACCGCCACAAGCAGGGCTTCAGCGAGGCCCTCGGCCTCGCCGGGGAGCGCGACGAGGGCTGGAAATGGGGCGGCTGCTCGGCCGACATCCGCTACGGCCTCGACTTCTCGCGAATATTCGTGGACGCGCGGGAGATCAAGCAGAACGCGCGCACGCTCATGAATCTGCACAACAACGAGGTCGGTAGGAAGGTGAGAGAGCGGCACCCGGCCCCCCCACACACACATCCCCCCCACACACCCCCCCACACACCTCCCCCCACACACCCCCCCACACACCTCCCCACACATCTCCCCACACACCCCCCCACACATCCCCCCCCCACACCCCCCCCCCCCACACACCCCTCCACATCCCCCCCACTTCTTTGGTCATCCGTGGGGGGTTTTGTTGTTGCGCGCGGCCCCCATCTGGGCGAGCGCTGAAGCCGCTCGGTGGTGCTGCAGAGCCGGTGGGCAGAGCCGGTGGTCAGGGCAGGTTGGGGAGAGCCGGTGGGCAGGGCACGGTGGGCAGGGCACGGTGGGCCCTCTCTTCCCTCCACGCTGCCGCTTGCTCGCTCCCCTTGCCGCTCTTTCGCTCCTCCTGTCACGCTGCCATTCTGTCGCTCTCCCTGTCCCTCTCTCCACCACTATCCCTGCCCCTCTCTCCCTGTCCCTCTCTCTCGCTCTCCCTGCCCCTCTCTCTCGCTCTCCCTGTGGCTCTCCACTACTCTCCCTGCCCCTCTCTCCCTGTCCCTCTCTCTCGCTCTCCCTGTTACTCTCCACCACTCTCCCTGCCCCTCTCTCCCTGCCCCTCTCTCCACCACTCTCCCTGCCCCTCTCTCTCCCTGTCCCTCTCTCTCTCCGCTCTCCCTGCCCCTCTTTCTCGCTCTCCCTGTCGCGCTCCCCACGCCGCCGCCAACCCTGTGAGTGATAGCGGCGGCGTAGGGAAGTCTTCACCCAGCAGCGGATAGACACTGGCTGATGAGGCTCCTCGTGATGATCATCATGACAGCTGTTGATAATGGTAACGATACCAGCTGCTGCTGCTGCTGCGGCTACTGCTGATGATGATTTTCCTGCTGCTGCTGTGACGACGACGATGATGATGAGGATGATGATGATGAAGAATACACTGCCCTCGGCATTGCATTCTTCCACACTAAGTCACAGGTAACTGCCAAACCGGAGTCGCCACGTGTGGCAGGGCACGTGTCTCTGCCGGGGCTCATTGAGAAGTCGATCAGAAATGTTGGCAGCAGTGATCTCGAAGGTCTGAGGCTCGGGCTGGGAGGAAACAAAAAAATGTAAAATACATTTGTTCATGTTACCAGGTAAGGCCCACTGAGCTATGTAGCTCGTTTTCAGAAGCGACCTAGCCATCACGAATGACAGCTCAACGAAGTGCCTTGTCACGTGGACATTTATAGCAGCCAAATACTCTAAACGCGTGTTTCTCGCATAAAAATCCACGCGACCACTGAGACAGAGAGATATGAAAACTCCAAATATAAAGGATGTAAGGATGTTATAAGCACCCTTAGCAATCACACAGGCATCATGGTCGGGATCGAACCCACGACCTGCTGGACACCGGGAGAGGTAGCTAACAGAGGCTCTAGGAGGTGGGCAGTGGCAGGGGGCGACCTCTCACTCGACCTCCTTCCCATGGGTGCTGCTCATGCGGATGGGAAGGACGGCTCGATCTGATCTCTCCCTGCCTCTCTACCTGCCTCTTCCCGCCTCTCCCAGATCGCACACGTAGCCACACAGGTGCAAGGTGGTAGTGGCGGGCTATCGAGTCATGCCTCGCCATCTCTGAGCCTCCCTCCTGTCTCCCTCCCTCCATCCCGTGTCTCACTCCCTCTAACCTCCTGACTCACTCTCCTTAGCTCACTGCTGTCTCCCTCCCTCCATCCCGTGTCTCACTCCCTCTAACCTCCTGACTCACTCTCCTTAGCTCACTGCTGTCTTCCTCCCTCCATCCCGTGTCTCACTCCCTCTAACCTCCTGAATCCCTCTCATTACCTCCCTCCTACGCCTCCCTGTTCCGTCCCTCCCTGGCTCCCCGCTCGCTTCCTTCTGAAACATCGCCAAGCGTCTGCGGCCGTCTGGAACGCTCTTTCGATGTTTGGAAGCCACTGGAGCTATGCGATTCTAAATCATTGAGATTGAAAACGCATTTCTTTAAAACTGATTTTTATGTTGAGATTGTTGTTCTTCTCTCGCACTTTCGATTAGCACGGTTGGATACGTACGGTGCAAAAGAAGTTCAACATACATACATGCAGGAGGGTGATCACTGATCGTTGCAAAGGTTCACGGTTCTAATCCAGCGGGCCATCCTGATTAATACTGCGTGGTGTAATACAACTAAACTTTTTATTTTATTTTACTAGGTAAGGCCACTGAGCTATATAACTTTTTTTCAGAAGTGACTGGCCTCAAATGATAGCTCAACGAAGTGGATTATCGTGTGGAAATGTATATCACCCGAATACTCTAAACGCGTGATGTTGATTATAAATGTGGAGGGAAAATCGGAAGACCCAGAGAAAAAGCCACGCGACCACAAGGAGAGAGACACGCAAACTCCCATATATACAGCAGGCGTCAGGGTCGGGATCGAACCCACGACCTCCTGTATACCAGGCGAGGTAGTTAGCATCTCCTAGCCACCATGATGATGATGATAGTGAGAACACGCAATCACCAAATATACAGCAGGTGTCAGGGTCGGGATCGAACCTACGACCTCCTGTATACCAGGCGAGGTGGTTGACATCTCCTCGCCACCGTGGCGCCCCTGGCCGCAATGCCACTACGCGCCGTCTGCTTCACGGTGGACGTGAGAGATCCCGTGACGCCGTTGGCAAGATTATGCCAATGGGGTGTTGGCGTCAGGGTCCTAATTTGCCACATTTCAAAAACGACACCGCAAATTACACGGCTGGGATTACGCAGCCAGCAATAAGTGCCTCCCCCACCCTCGCTTCCCTCCGTGCCCCCACCGGGCCAGCAGATTCGTTGCCCAGGCCACTCTCTCACAGGCGAGACGATCCCTCGTCGCTCGAGTTCTCGCCGCGTTAACACGGATCGACTCGAGACGTCATTCCTGCGTCGCGACGCTGCCTCCATCGTTGCCGCCCGGCCACCCCGACGCGCAAAGACTATTTTGCGATGCGAAACGATCGACGTTTTTCTTTTCTTATTCAAATTGACGACGACTATCGCGATGTCGGTTTAGCGGAACTTCGCAGTCGTACATTGAGCCGTTTCGCTGCGGTGTGCTTCGCCGCTCGTCCCAGTGCGCGTAACGGCGGCCTTACAATCTATAGTATAACGCACGTGCTACGAGTTTCAACTAAATATCAAAATAAATAAAAAATCAAACTACGAATATCATTACTCGACAAAAAAATTTACACCAAGCGCTCACTTACTGGCTGATAGGTATTTACTTAGACATTTTATTATCGTTTTTGTTACGTTGTAAATATAGTGTCAGCAAATAAATAACCGAGCCAAGACAGCGGAACGCCGTGGCGGCGAGATGTTAACTACCTCGCCTGGTATACAGGAGGTGGTGACGCCTGCTGTATATTTGGAGTTTGCGTGTCTCTCTCCCCGTGGTCGCGTGGATTTTTCTCCGGGTGCTCCGGTTTTTCTCTCCACATTTAGAATCAACAAAATGTGTTTGGAGTATTTGGCTGCTATGAATTCCCACACGATGATAAGCTACTTCGTTGTGCTATCATTTGTGGCCAGGTCGCTTCTGAAAAGTAGAATATATAGCTCAGTGGGCCTTACCTGGTAAAATAAAAAATAGTTTCGTAGTTTTACTTTAGTTTAACTCCCAGTAACTACCCAGTACACACCCCGGACAAATCCCCAAGTGAACTCGGACTCAACTTTGCGTCTCTCACTTGTCTCACCCTCTAAACGCCTCCATAGTCCCACACAATCAACCACACGTCCACCTAACTGCACATCCACGCAACTCGTACAAACACACATCCACCCACACGATCAACCATACACGTAGCTACCCACACATACACACACCAACACACACAAGCATCCAACTACACACCCACACAACCAATTATTCACAAAATCACTTACCCAAACACATCCATTTACCATAATACTCACCCAACACACAAACGTATCTACTTACGAACACTTTCACCAACACACCCAACGACTTCTCATCGACACACACTCATCCACACGCCAATCCACACAACAACCCACCCACACACCTCCATACCCCCCAACACACCCACAGACACCTCGATACCCACCCACACACACCTCCATAACCCCATACCCACCGATACACACCCACACACACACAAAGACAAAGATCCCCCGATAGCCTTAACAGACTGTTGGGGCGAGTGCTGTTAGCGAGCGCCTACGAAGGCCGGCACGGCACACGAGGGGGTGTGTGGCCAGCACCACGCCCGACCACCTCTGTCTCCCCCGAGTGGCGATGTTTCCACACCGCATCGGGTCCTCATTCGAGGCTGAGTCGACCTAGGCGAGGCGCAGGACCGGCTCAGACAATCGCGACCGCGCGTCTTGGCCGTGAGCGGGCACTCGATCTCGGCTCGCCGGGTTTCGCGAGCGCAGCGCGACGCGCTAACCCGCCACCGCCGCCGCCGCCGCCGCCGCTCCCCGCAGGTGCTGGAGGAGCGCATGAAGCTGGAGTGCAAGTGCCACGGCGTGTCGGGCTCGTGCACGACGCGCACCTGCTGGACCATGCTGCCGCGCTTCCGCGAGGTGGGCCACGCGCTCAAGGAGAAGTACAACTCGGCCGTTCACGTGGAGCCGGTGCGCGCCAGCCCGCACCGGCGGCCCGCCTTCCTCAAGGTGAAGTCGACGCCGCGGAACTACCGCAAGCCCATGGAGACCGACCTGGTGTACATCGACCGCTCGCCCAGCTACTGCGAGGAGGACCCCGCGTCGGGCAGCCTGGGCACGCGTGGGCGCCTCTGCAACCGCACGTCGCCGCACGCCGACGGCTGCGACTTGCTGTGCTGCGGCCGCGGCTACAACACGCACCTGTACACGCGCTCGTGGCAGTGCAACTGCAAGTTCCACTGGTGCTGCTACGTCAAGTGCAATACCTGCAGCGAGCGAGTGGAGGTGTTCACCTGCAAGTGACGGGCGGGGGGGGGGAGAGACAGAGATAGAAAGAGAGAGACGGTGCTGGGATTAAAGCGGAGAGAGTGATGGGGAAATGTAGGTGGAGGAGGGCGGTGGAGAGAGAGACAGAGAGAGATAAGACAGAGGGAGGTGCAGGTGGTGGCGGAAGAGAACGGAAGAGGAGGGCGGTGGCCAGGGGTTAAAGCGGAGAGAGGCGGGGGAGATGTGCGTCGCGGACGGGACGCGGAGGAGACGGGAACGTCGGACGGGTTGGAGGAGAGATGTGCAAGTCGTGGGATGGAGCAGGGAAATTGTGGATGTTACGACTGGCGGTGGGACTTTGAACGTACGGGGCGATCGTGGTGCAGCACCATCATTGTCGGCAGAAGCAGCAGCAGCAACAACAGCTGTAGCTGCGTCAAGATCATTACCATTGTCATAGCTGTTACCATCATCATCATCATCGTGATCATCCTCATCAGCAGCAGGAGCAGCATTAGCAGCCGATAACGCAAGCCAAGAGACTATGGACTCCTCTGTCGGACGTGAGGGTGGCGTGCCAGGGGCGCATGCCTCCTCCGCCCAGGCTATGGGCTTGAGCAATAATTGCTTGATAAATTTGAGCAATAAGGCCACTGTGGGACAATTTTACGCGCACATTTTGGGTTTATATTTCATGGATCCCTCGACCACTCTACATTGGTGGCCTGGGCTACGTAGGCCCTCACCCCAGGCCCGCCCGCACTCCCCTAATATATTAATATATTTGTTAACCAGGTAAGGCCCACTGTGCTCTGTGTCTTTTTTTCAGAAGCGACCTGGTCACATTTGATAGCTCACCGAAGTGGCTTGTCGTCACGTGGAAATTTCTAGCGGCCAAATACTCTTAACTTCACAATTGTTCCCACGCGAACTCAGTCTCGCATTGGTACGAGGTAAATAAAAACGAGTGCCACTTTGTCGGAGAGTCCGCAGTGCTTGTGCTACGATGAAATGGCTCATCCTCGCCAAGGGAATAGGGAATTTCCACCACCCGCCAGAGAGGTGAGCCACGCCTTGGCGTCCTTCTTTGAGTGGTTGGGCCGGCTTGGAAGTTGACTTTTTTAAATAAATGGTAACCACAAAATATCTTTCAAAAAAGATTCTAAAGAGAGATATATTTTCAATATATATAAGGGGCGGTCGAAAATTGTTGATTTCTATTCACTAGGCGTGCAAGGCTGCATTGGGTTAAACCCTTAAAAATCAAATCGTCCGCTCGTGGCTCGTGCATCATTTAGTTCGTTAAAAGACGCGATTATTTAGAATTCCTGCAAATCGTATGTAAGTTATAAGCTCGTGCAACAGTTGGGTTAATGGGACGAACAAAAACAATACAAACGAGACGGGGGGAAAAGAATCCCCGCCCCCCACCTCCCTCCACCAAGAAACAACGCGGACGACAACTCACGACCCCCCCCCCCCCCCCCCACCGAGGAATCAGAATTTCTGCGGGTGTCGAATTGTCACGTGACTACGATAGATGCTCCTGACACGCTTGTAGCCATACGGAGCAATGGACCGTAACACCACGGCACGAGCGTATACTGCACCGGCTGTGTGGTGATAGAAGTAATGAGGGTGGTGTAGGCACAACAACGCAAGCAAGATGCCGGTCTCATTGCATTGTGGGTGGTCGGATTCAGACCTCCGCCGAACCGGGCTGGAACGCGTGGGCACGATTGTGTCGCCGACCGGTGATGACGGAGATCATGGAGCATCTTTGCCGAAACTCGGGACGGAGAGAGGCACCGTCGTCGTGACGCGGTTTCGGGCCGCGTGGTTTTGTGCCGGGGGTATTTTACACGGCTCGTTCTTGAGGTTTGTTTTTGACAGCCCGTTGCTTGCATGCGTCGCGTGTGTACGCGCGCACACGCGTGTGTGTGTGTGCGTGTGTGTATATATATAAGTTATATGGCAGGTTGCACTGGAATAACGTACCGTACACTTAACCGGAAGAGCGTCTCGATTCAAACACTACAAAACTGTATTTTTTCACAAATGCCGCGATATCGTGCGAGTGACACCCGTGTTCGAACTTCTTCATTAGCACCGCACGTAGCCAGCCATGCTATGTGCGACGTCACCGGAGGGCCAGAGGGGTGGCCGTACAGAACATCGGACGACTGAGTTGGTAGACTTTTGTAGGCAATTAATGAACCCTTTCCCATTCCGATAACGTGCATGTACGTCATCAGTTTTTCTTCCAATTCTATTCTGATGACGTACGATTCTATTCCAATGACGTACGATTCCATTCTGATGTCGTGCATTACGTCATCAATTTTTCTTCCAATTCCGTTCCGATGACGTACAATTCCATTACGATGACGTACGTGCACGTTATTAGTTTTTCTTCCAATTCCGTTCCGATGACGTACAATTCCATTCCGATGACGTACGATTCCATTCCGATGACGTGCATGGACGTCATCAGTTTTTCTTCCAATTCCATTCCGATGACATACAATTCCATTCCGATGACGTATAATTTCATTCCGATGACTTACGTGCATGTTAACGGAACGGAATTGGAAGTAGAAGGCCATGCCGGAGGGTGTGTGGCTCAGTTTGGCACCAACCATCGTAGAGTGCGGTCGTGTCGATACATTTCTTTGCGGGTAAGCACAGTACAATGTCATTAAAAACGACGACGCTACACCTCTCTGAATAAAATGAACGCAGATCCGCTTGCGCGTTCCGAGCTTCGGCAGTGAACGAGACACCCACCCTGCAACTTGCAGACGTCTCGGAAGGGAAAAGGGTTAATTGGCCGTGCGAGAAAGGAGGTCAACTCACAACGAGGTCCAGGCGCTTTCTGTCGCTCACTTGCCCCAAGCCTAACCCCAGTGGTGGCCCTCGGCATAATCAAACTAAGCGACTGTGCAGGGCCCCCAAGTGGCGCAAAGGCCCTCCAGATTCGTGAAGAGGGATGAAACATATACCAGCTCAAATTCAAATCCGAATATTCAAAGTCGCAGATTGGCATTAAAGGGGCTAACTCATCCCTCTCATCCCCATCTCGTCTGAAGTCTCTTATGGAGCTTCATTTTTGTCTCTTGGCTATACCTCCCTTATTTCACTCCAGCTGTCTTCTCTGCTGATGATCTCGAGCCTCTGATCTCACCACGTCGCTATCTCGTGTCTATGTCTCTCCTGTCATCTCATTAAGAGTTTATGTATCGAACGGAGGGCCCCCAATGAACCCGCACGACTACTGACCCCAACCCTGGACTCTGAAATCACATTTCCGCCTATTTAGGAACAACCGTTGCAATTATTTGAGACTTCTACCAATTTTGAGGGCATGTGAATTTATATTTCTCCTGAACGTTCAGTTTGTATGGTATGGAACTGTCAGGCAATCTCGGTGGATTGTCAGGCTAGTGGATTGTAAGGCAGTGTGGATGGATTGCCAGGCAATCTTAGCAAAATTGTCGGTCAGTCTCGATGGGCAGTCAGGGAGAGTCGGTGAAAAAATGGGGCCGTCACAGCGACCTGCGAGGAGGCCCAGAAACAGCTCGAAGCATGTCAGGCGATTCGCCCGCGTCGCACCGAAACCGCCGTGCAGCGGTGCATTGTGGGCGACAGAGATTCTACTGATGAATGTCAACTACTGACGGATCGTGAGCGAGTCGACGCATGGGGTGAGCGGGTGGGAGATGAGCAATTTTCTTTTGTTTGTCGTCACCGCCGTCCGATGGGATTGCCCGCGACCTCAACACGGCCACCGAGACGACGAATCTCTCTCTCGCTTTGTTCATCTCAGCGACGCGCCTGGGGGGGGTGGGGGGTGGGGGGCTGTCCCGGCGATGGCGGTTATTTATTTATTTACTTGACGCTATGCGGCGATCTTTGCAGAGAAGTGCCGGTGGTGGCGGTCGTGGCGGCGCGTTGGTGGCGGCTCCTGCTCCGGGCCATGGAGTGGGAACCGCGCAGAGACCGCACGGAATTTGTCGCTCGAATCAAGCGAGGCCAATGACGACTCCTGACGGCTACCGCCCCCCCCCCTCCAACCTGCTGTGCCTTCTTTTTAGCGTTGGCTCTGGTCGCGACTCTGAATGCAGCCCCAGCACAAGGCGACACCCTGACCTTATGAACCCTGATTGTAATGCTAATCAAGCGCAATGTGAGGCTAAACCATAGTCCTGATGCTCACACTATCCCAGTTTAATATGCCACTAAACCATAGCCCTGACTTTAACCCTCACCCAGTCTAACAATCCACTAAACCATAGCCCTGACTCTGACTGTTACCCAGTCTAACGTTCCACTAAACCATAACCCTGGCCCTAACCCTCACCCAGTCTTACAATCCACTAAACCATAGCCCTGACCCTGACTCTAACCTAGTCTAACGTTCCACCAAACCATAGCCCTCACCCTAACCCAGTCTAACATTCCACTAAACCATAGCCTTGACCCTGACTCACCCGATTAAAGACACTCAACGTAAAGCCAAACCATAGAGCCCCCTTGACCCTTTACGTCGACGTTGAATGGAGACGAATTCGAGGCTAAATCAATTCGCAAAAAAAGGTGACGAGACGCAAGAGACGATGCCAATTTCTTTTTAATCCGCGGAAAACTGGGACCAAGTTGAATTGTAACAGAGGCGCATTTTTAAATCTCCTATTCTCTCTTCATTCGTTTTTTTTGTTTTGCCAAATCGGCAGCGGCGGCGGCGGCTATTGTGTATTTTGCAAGCGAGTGTATATTTGGCGAGACGTTATTTTTATATTAAAATATTTATTCACACGCACGCGTTTTTTTTTTGCTTTTCGCTCCACACGCTGCGCGGTGTGATAATAAACCTCTCGCGTGAGAGCCAAGAGCGTCGAGGGGGTGTACGTGTGCGTGTACGTGTGTGTGTGTGTACGTGTGCGTGTGTATACGTGTGTGTGTGTGTACGTGTGTGTACGTGTGTGTATACGTGTGTGTACGTGTGTGTACGTGTGTGTGTACGTGTGTGTGTACGTGTGTGTGTGTACGTGTGTATGTACGTGTGTGTGTATACGTGTGTATGTACGTGTGTGTGTACGTGTGTGTGTGTACGTGTGTGTGTGTGTACGTGTGTGTGTGTGTACGTGTGCGTGTACGTGTGTGTGCGTGTACGTGTGTGTGTGTGTGTGTACGTGTGTGTGTGCGTACGTGTGCGTGTACGTGTGTGTGTGTACGTGTGTGTGTATACGTGTGTGTGTACGTGTGCGTGTACGTGTGTGTGTGTACGTGTGTGTGTATACGTGTGTGTGTACGTGTGCGTGTACGTGTGTGTGTGTACGTGTGTGTGTATACGTGTGTGTGTACGTGTGCGTGTACGTGTGTGTGTGTACGTGTGTGTGTATACGTGTGTGTGTGTACCTGTGCGTGTACGTGTGTGTGTGTACGTGTGTGTGTGTATACGTGTGTGTGTACGTGTGTGTACGTGTGTGTACGTGTGTGTGTACGTGTGTGTGTACGTGTGTGTACGTGTGTGTACGTGTGTGTGTATACGTGTGTGTGTGTACGTGTGTGTACGTGTGTGTGTGTACGTGTGTGTGTACGTGTGTGTGTGTGTACGTGTGTGTATACGTGTGTGTGTGCGTACGTGTGTGTGTACGTGTGTGTACGTGTGTGTGTGTACGTGTGTGTGTGTACGTGTGTGTACGTGTGTGTGTACGTGTGTGTACGTGTGTGTACGTGTGTGTGTACGTGTGTGTATACGTGTGTATGTACGTGTGTGTGCGTGCGTACGTGTGTGTGTACGTGTGTGTGTGTGTACGTGTGTGTGTACGTTTGTACGTGTGTGTGTACGTGTGTGTGTACGTGTGTGTGTTTATGACGGACTGTGTGTGTACAAGTGTGGGTGGGTGTTTATGAGTGACTATGTGTGTGTGTATATACGTGTGTATACGTGTGTGTGTGTATATGTGCACGCTCCAGTCTCAGACTGGAGCGTGCAGTCTCAGACTGGAGCGTGCCACTAAGAGGTGGGGCCTTACCATCAGCCCCACCAAAACTAAGCACCTGCCTGGGTATTTTGTACCATCGGACACTCCACCCCCACAACTCCCAATCGATGATGGGGCAGTAGTGGAGAGAGTGGAGAGTTTCCCATACCTGGGCAGTGTGCTCATGACCGGCTCCAGATTAACAGCAGAGGTCTCACTCCGAATCAGTCGAGCGGCAATATCTTTTCATCGGTTGCGTAACGCTGTGTGGAAGCTACCTGGTCTGTCGCTCCGCACGAAGCTTCAGGTCTTCTCGGCCACAGTCATTCCCTCCCTTCTCTACGCTTGCGAAACGTGGACCCCCCTAATGGAGCATCTTCGCCGGTTGGAAACATTAGGCTGGCCTAGCCTACGATCCATCCTGGGTTTAACCAGGCTGGATTGTGTGAGGAGCTCACAAATCATCGAAAGATCTGGACAAAGTCCCATCGGTGAGCTCCTCCGGCGAGCAAGGCTGCGTTGACTGGGTCACGTAGCCCGCATGCCCAGCCACCGCATGCCTAAACAGATTTTGTTCAGCCGGGTCGAGGGGGCTAAACGGGTGCGGCACGGGCTAGAGAAGAGATGGAGTGATGTGGTACAGGAGGACGTGGAGCTGAGTGGACTTGCCGATGATCGGTACCAGCGGTGTCAAGATTGGCCTCAGTGGAGGAGGCTCGTGAAGGACGCTACGGAGCAAGTTGGAGGCAGTCGCCTTCCAAACAACAGCGGGGCTGGGGGGGGGACGCTGCTCACAACAGCGAGCGCAGAGCAGGGCGGATAAAGCACAGTGTGAGTGCACTGGTGGCGCATCTGGCCTGTCAGTAAACCCGTAGCCATGGGTCACCATCCCGCGCCTCCTGCCAGCGAACATTGCACACTTCACGTGGCCTCAAAGTGCACCTAGCCGGGCACGAATGAATACCCCTCGTGGTGTATAAACATCGGCACTTGGGAGACAAAGGCGGCTGGGCCTGGTGATATGCAGGTCACCTCCTCGCGCGCCGTGCTGACCTTCATTAGGGGCTCGATAAGTACACACGTGACCCAACAGACGCGTGGGCTACATGGGGAGATATTTGTGCAGTGTGTACACGTGTGTGTGTGTATACACACGCGTGTGTGTGTGTATACACACGTGTGTGCGTGTGTGTACACACAGTTCGAGTGATGCCACACACTAGGCTGGGCACTGTGCCAACACTTACATATCTGCTCATGCCAAAAACATTTGTCTGTTTTGTGGTTTACTCGGTCATTATCTCCCCCCCCCCCCCATGTCGCTCGTGTTAACATGAGGCGAGACCGCAAACCACAGCACTGACCCTACCACAGGCCAACTGGAGGCGACACCACAGCACTGACCCTGACCCTAACACAGGTCAACACAATGTTACTGGTAGGATACTCTCAGTTCTTTCGGTAAAGTCACGTAGGAAAAAAATGAAATTAAAATTAATTAAATAATAAAATCACGACGTTTCGGAGGCAACACAAGTCTCCGTCATCAGGTGGGACCGTCACAGCCAGATTTGCTGCATCAAGTGAGTTCGGTAGGAACCTCCTGGTTACACCAGCCCACAGGGGATTATTGTGTCCGTCCGTCCGTTGTGCATACAAAAATGGGTGGGGCTGGGTGGAGAGGGGAGGGTGGGGAGGGGCTGGGTGGGGAGGGTGGGGCTGGGTGGGGGGTGGGAGGGGTGGGGCTGGGTGGGGAGGGGCTGGTCACCCCGTGGTGCCCTTATAAAACTCAACGTTTAACCTACTCACGCCGGCTTGTGCCCGCCCTCACAGTCAGGCATATTTGCGGAATACACCACGCCGCCGTTGACCCTGGCCATTGACCGAGCAACCCAACGTTCTTACCAGCTCCCTCCGCAGGAATGTGTTAAAGCCCTTGCCTGGATTCTCACCCTAACACATTCAATTCTGGTCACTCGTCGATGCTAGAGGTGACCTCATTCCTACCCACTGATAACACCTTAACACAGGTCACGGTCCGGCTCTCACCATATAAATAACACACGTGTCGGACCAGCATGCTTTGCAGCAAACTGTTGGACAGCATTGCCAGGCCAGTAAAAAAAATGCTGCCTGATGTTATGAGAGATTACGAATGTTTAATTTTTTGCAAAGATGGACCTTTGTCCATATTCTATGTGTTCATATATGAACCCATATGCTATCCATGGCCATATATAACCCCATATGTTATCCGCGATCATATATGATCCCATGTTATCCACGGTCATATAGGTCCCATATCTTATCCATGATCAACGTTATCATATTGCTCCCATATATTATCCATGGTCATATATGATCCCATATATATTATCGGCATCTCTTGTCCGCCTGTCCTCCACAACCCACCGGGCAAGCACCCACGCACTAAACTATTCAACTTAGACCACTTCTTAGTTTAGCAGGTAAGGTCCACTGAGCTACTGGATATCGCTGATCGTTGCAAAGGTTCACGGTTGTAATCCAGCGGCCACCCTGATTAATACTGCATGGAGTCATTCAACTAAACTAAGCTATTTTCAATTGTACTAGGTAAGGCCCACTGAACTATAAGTTCTTTATCAGAAGCGACTCTGGCCACAATTGATAGCCGAACGAAGTGGCTTGTCATCACGTGGAAGTGGACAGCAGGCAAAATACTCTAAACGCACTTTTAAAGTATGCACCTTTAAACCTAGATCTTTAGGACGGCTTTTTCATGTTTGTTTTGATGTCCTTTCCCCTCATCCCCGATTGGCACGGGTGGCTACGTAACACGCTCGTGAACTTCAACACGCGTACACGTGGAGGGGGAAACCCGGAGGGTTCCTGGAGAAAAATCAACGCGACCACAAGGGAGGGAGAACACGAAAACTCCAAATGTACAGCAGCAGGCGTCAGGTTCGGGATCGATCTCCTGTGTATCAGCAGTGCCGGATGATCCTAGTAGCAAAAGTAGCTACACGTGTAGTAGCTACACATGTAGTAGCTACGGGCCCCGCACTTTCAAGGGCCCCGCACGAAATGCTTTCAAGCTATCAATTCCGGTTCAGTGAATTTGCACTTGCTCTATCACTATAGTACTATACCGCCTTCGACTGCCGAACGACTGGGTGTTTAAAATCAGCGATTTGTCGTATTATCTGGCTGTATAGGGCCCCTTTATAACATCACGCTACAGGGCCCAGCTTAATCCGGCACTGTCTACCAGGCGAGACAATTAACATCTCGCCACACACATCCGACACCCCCCACCCACCCGCCCCGATCAGGGCTCACACGGGGGGGGGCGTGGGGGGGTGTGTGGAGGGAAACACGGGGAGGGGGACACACGGGGGGGGGGGAGACACGGAAGGGGGGGACACGGGGAGGGGGAGACACGGGGAGGGGGGAGACACGGGGGGGGGGAAATACGGGGAGGGAGAGACACGGGGGGGGGAGACACGGGGGGGGGGAGACGCGGGGAGAGAGAGACACGGGGGGGAGACACGGGAGGGGGGGACACGGGGGGGGGGAGACACGGGGGGGGGGGGACACGGGGGGGGGGGGGACACGGGGGGGGGGGGAGATACGGGGAGGGAGAGACACGGGGGGGGGAGACACGGGGAGGGGGAGACACGGGGGGGGGGAGACACGGGGAGGGGGAGACACGGGGGGGGAGACACGGGAGGGGGAGACACGGGAGGGGGGGACACGGGGGGGGGAGACACGGGAGGGGGAGACACGGGGGGGGGAGACACGGGAGGGGGGGACACGGGGGGGGGGAGACACGGGAGGGGGGGACACGGGG